AGGGTGTTTTCATTATTTAGCAGCTCAATAGGGGCGAAAAATCAGAAAAGGCACCACTTGATAAGTATTTTATTGCCTTACATTATCGTTGAACCGCGAAAATTATGCCTTGTTTACGAAGCAAAGTGCGACTTCGCAAACAATCGTGAGCGAAGTGTACAATCTATCTTTTTTTATGTAAATAATGTATTAACATTATTTAGAGCTTACAAAAATATCGTAAACCCATTTTGAAGGCAAAAATTTGGGCGCAGGCTTGCTGTGAGGTTTATGTTAGGTGCGCTTTAGTTACAAAAACACAAATTTTTTTCTAATGATCACTTCGCTAAGCATTTATAAGACAGACGGAGTCCTAAAGCTTTCAAATCAGTTGGAAAAACCGCGGAAACACCTCTAAAAACACAATATCTGTGACAAAATACGCGTGAAAGTATTTTTAAGTGAAAAGAAAAAACAAATAAGAGTTTTAATAAAGATATGACACAGCTGAACTGAATCGAATGTCTTGACTTTTGATCATATATATGCACCAAAGATTGTGGAAGCCGAGAATTACTTTGGTGGATAGAAACTTTAGGTGGATCTATAGTTTTGGCCAGCTTTCAAGGCTGCTTTTTTCAAAAATCTTGATTTTTTCCTGAACCATCCAAAGAAATCGGGGATCGGTCCTGATTACTGATATTAGCCTTAATCACACAATTGTACCAAATTTCAGATCAATTCGTTGAGAAGCAGATGAGCTATGGCAGTTTGTAAGGGTGGATCTATATTTTGGCCAGCACTGTATTTTGGCATTTTTCAGGGATCATAACTTTTCATAGAGATGCTCAACCGGCGCAAACTTTGCACTGTTAGGAAGAGCTGTTGAAAGAACCTATAATACCGACTCGCTCACATCAATACTATCGATATCTGATATCCATATGTGCGATTGCCGTATTTTTTTCTTGACTAGAAATTGAGAAAACGAAAATTTCCCTGATTTTCTCAAAGCAATGCTGAGCCGTTTTTGCATATATAGTTCTATACTACAAGCCTAGGTAAGTATGACTGTAAATTTTCAGCCTATTTCGGACGGTACTTATCGAGAAATGTCGATTTTAGCACTGAAACTGAAACGAAAAAATCCGAGTTCGTTATTTTTCGAAGACTACCGCTTGGAATGGGCTGAAAATCTACAGTTATACTTACCTAGGCTTGTAATAGAACTACATATGCAAAAACGGCTCAGCATTGCTTTGAGAAAATCAGGGAAATTTTCGTTATCTCAATTTCTAGTCAAGGGAAAAATACGGCAATCGCACATATGGATATCAGATATCGATAGTATTGATGTGAGCGAGTGGGAGGTCCGTAGAAATTATTTGAACGAAGATCTGATTTTTTTCGATTTCTTGGGCTTTTGGAAATCTTTAGATTTTGAGTTCGAACTCTCCGTGGATCGAGCATGGCGCAAAGTCATGAGTGCCGTCTTGTAGAGCTTGCTTTGCTCTATCCAATGGTACTTTGAAGCCTATATAAGAATGAAAAGTGTATGACTTATTGCGGTCGAAATTCAAAACGTGCATTAATTATGAACCAACCTAATATTAGGTTGTCTCATAATTAATGCCGTTTTTCTAACCTCCTTGAGAGAGCTGGTTTTCAAAGAAAAACATTTTTCTTCAAAATCCTTTATAGTATCGGAAAGCCCGGTTCCTCTAAAGTGCGGTTCATAATTATACGAACACCCCAAATTTCGGAAGTTCCTGGACTTTTTGACAGAAACTCAAAAAGCCGTTGGTACCACGCGAAAGAGCACAGCCGAAAACGGTATATTATCCGTAAGAATGGAAATGAATGTCAATCTTAGAAGTGTTTTTGCGCCTAATGCAAACTTTTGGCGGTTCATAATTATACGAACACCTCAAACAAGGACCCATTTTTCATTCAAGATTGCAATCATTTGAGTCCAAATTTTTTGTAGAGTTACAGTAACAAAGTCTGACATATCTGTTACACACTGAACCCAGCGCAGTTCAAAAAGTGGACCGTTACTTTTTTCAGAAGGCTCTAAATGCTTTTTGAGTGATTGCGCTCCAAAAACAACCGTTCTTCTGTGGTTTACGCGCTCTGATTAGCTTCTACCAAAGCTATGAGATAAAATAAGCTCTTTCGATAAATATTCTGTTTGACGCTTGGAAAATCTTTGCGTTTTCGTGCCGTTTTTCAACCAAGTTCCAACCTTACCACAGAGTTAGCACGATTTTGAGCCTCAAAACTCAGCTTCTGAAGCCGTACTGAAGTAAGCACATAGTATGTAGAAGTTCACAAGACTGTTTATTTGGTTAGAAAAAATCAGCAGCGCTGAGCGTTTGTTTTGGCCACGCAGACGTCATCTCACCAAAAACACTGTTTTTACTATTGCAATTACACCTTTATTTGGTTTTTAGCTCCACAGCCTCAAGATCAGTTCTACAAAAAACCCAAAAACTTTGGCACAGAAACATCGTCACGCAAACAATGCAGCGGCTTCGTATCAAATGTTTGCGCATGAGAGAAACTGAGTTTTGAGGCTCAAAATCGTGCTAACTCTGTGGTAAAATTGGAACTTGATTGAAAAACGGCACGAAAACGCAAAGATTTTTCAAGGGTCAAACAGAATATTTATCGAAAGAGCTTATTTTATCTCATAGCTTTGGTAGAAGCTAATCAGAGCGCGTAAACCACAAAAGAACGGTTGTTTTTGGAGCGGAATCACTCAAAAAGCATTTAGAGCCTTCTGAAAAAAGTAACGGTCCACTTTTTGAACTGCGCTGGGTTCAGTGTGTAACAGATATGTCAGACTTTGTTACTGTAACTCTACAAAAAATTTGGACTCAAATGATTGCAATCTTGAATGAAAAATGGGTCTTTGTTTGAGGTGTTCGTATAATTATGAACCGCCAAAAGTTTGCATTAGGCGCAAAAACACTTCTAAGATTGACATTCATTTCCATTCTTACGGATAATATACCGTTTTCGGCTGTGCTCTTTCGCGTGGTACCAACGGCTTTTTGGGTTTCTGTCAAAAAGTCCAGGAACTTCCGAAATTTGGGGTGTTCGTATAATTATGAACCGCACTTTAGTTTCTAATATGTGCTTTCGTCTTCGCAAGTCTTTGTTGAAGCCGAAGTTCATTGCCTTCAAAGACAAGTGACTAAAATTTGAAATTCTTTCCCTTCACTCTCCTTGCTCTGAATCCATGAATAGTAGACGGGTTTTTTTTAAAATATGCGTAACGATCGCGAAGCTTTGTGCTACGAAACGCTTGTCTGTATGCTGTGTCTGTATGAGATTTTTGAAAAATTTCGAGCTATGAAATTTTGTCACAAACTTGGCTGGTCGCTGAGGTCCATCTAAGCTGCATAAAAATCCCAAGCAAAAAGCGACTGTATGAATTTGTACAACTAATACTAGAAAAAAAGCAGCATTTCATTCTCTTTTCAAAGAGAAAAAATTCAAAAAATTCCAAAAAGGCAGTTTTTTGGATCTTCCAAAATACTGAAAAAATGAGTACTTCCAGTTTTTCTGCAAAATTTTCTCACGGAAATATGCCGTAAATTCAAACCCCACTTCATTGCACAAGCGACATCGGCTATATAATGAGCAAAGTCCGCGCGATCCTAGTAAATTTTGGCGAAAGTTAAGCTCTCTCATAGTATAGAGTTCTAAAAAAATGTTCGGGAATTTTTTAGTGCCAATGCACTATTTGCCTCACAATGCTCGAATTTTAGACTTATAAAAATTAGTAGAGTTAATCAAATGCTTTGCTCAATAAGTTCTGCTCGGAGCCCGGTGATAAGTGCAATTTGATAATGTTATTGCAAGAAAAAAGCTGAAAGACTTGAAGTTTTGAATTTGATACCTTTTTTTGGTATTCATCTAGTTTTCACACCTCATTTCTAAACAAACAAAATCTATTCAATTCTTCTGTCTAGAAGAACCATCTAGTAAGGGAAGGGTACCAACATCACCTGCGATTGAGGATGAGATGTTGATGAATAGACGCGCCCTTGAAGGCTGATTCCAAACCTTCTTTCCTTTTCTGTGGAGTAGTTTCCGAAAAAATTTGTGAGCGTTTAACTAAATTTGTCAAGGTTTAAATGGCCATAAATTGGCGAAAAGCTGTGCAAAAACTTCGAAAAGTGGGAGATCAGTTTTCAACCTAGTATATTGTATGCAAGGAAGGAACAAAGCAGGTGGAAATCGCTAGGTGCTGTTTAGGGCTTTACGCTGATTTCAAGCCACTCAATGCTTGGCAAACTTAGACCCTCAGACGCTCAAAACTTCTTTCGGAAACTTATTCCGCAAAAAAAGGAGAAACTGTTTTATTGCCTTCCCTTCTTCTTTCCATCTGCCCTGGGTTCAGTGTATAGCAGATATCTCACTGTTTCAGTAGCTCTTCAAAAATTGGGACTCGAAAGATTGCAGTGGAAAAAGGAGCCTTATTTGAAATGTTCGTATATCTATGAACCGCGAAAAAGTTGCATTCGCCGCAGCGTCCCCAGAATTGGCACCGATTTTCATTCTTGTATCGCGTATGCTATTTTCGGTTATGCTATTTCACGCAGTACCAAAGGTTTCTTGAGTTTCTTTCAAATAGTCCTGAACTTCCAAGAAATGGGGTGTTCGTATTGCTGTGAACCGCACTTCACATACATATTTGTTATCTAGCCTTGCAATCTAGGTGGTAGCGCAGATCTAGCATGCAATACTATCGTTTCCAAAATTGGCGATGAACATAGATTCAGAAACGACTATTTTCTCTCCGAAAACACTCAGAACTCAGGGCCCGTAGACGTTCGATAGCAGAAACGGGTTCGGGATCAGTTTGAAACTCCTCATAATGGTTTAGATTTCGTTAGAAAATGCCACTTTAATCAAAAACACCTTCCCAGTTAGAGTGATAGATTTCATATTCATCTTCGATCATGTTAATCAATTTTTCGTGTCATCTCGAGTTTTTTGGAACAATCTGTGCTGCATATTTATTGATCACGATCACGACACACGAACAAAATCACATTGCTTTTTGAGTGGATAATCTGCGATTAAATGATGGCGCAACTAATGCAACCAGGAAATGGATCATGCCCATCATCATCGTCCATAGCTGGAAATGGCATGTCCAACCCCTCCGGTATAGACTCCGCTCCCTGCAGAATACTGGGGCGCGGGTGCTGACGATCCATGAGCAGCTGGCGCTGCGACCCCTTGGTGGTGCTGCAAGTATCAAAACTAGAAAAAAGATTTTTAGGTCTCACTGGAACTTCAGACATGAAGTTAGGATTTACGGCAGATTGACGTTAACGGTAGAAACTAACCTTCCTCGCGTCTCTCGCGGGGCAGGGGCAGTATGCAGCGTCGGCTCCCACGTTTCCTCCTTGTCCTTGCGCTCCTTCCTCGCCCGGACGCCCACCCGGCCCTTGAAATCCGGGCGTGCCATTCGGGCCTGGCGGGCCAGGTTGGCCGACACCACCCTCCTTTCCAGGCTCGCCTGCAGGACCGGGTTCTCCGCTTTCTCCTGATGGTCCACGTGGTCCTTTGCGGGAGATAATTTGCTCGGCATCTTGTCCCTGTAAGTGGATAGTTGAAGGCAAAGAGAATCCCAACGATGGCTTTCTCGATACCTTTTCTCCATTGGCTCCGGGCTTGCCATCGGGGCCTGGCGGGCCTGGCGGTCCCATTTCGCCCGGACTTCCCGGGTAACCGTCGTTGCCGGGCATTCCCGGCGTACCTCTCGGGCCGCGCATACCGCGGATGCCCTGCAGATTTTGAGAATTTATTATTCGACTTTGCAAAATTCATGAAATCATACCGGTTTGCCGCGTTCCCCCGGCGCGCCTTGCTTGCCCGTAGGACAGATGATGCACCCAACGAATCCCGTGTTCTGCCAGTCCTCGGCGTCTTCGCCCTGAATTGAAATTTATTGTCTGGAAGCAGAAAATTCATGAGCGACTTACATCGTAACCATCTATGCCGTCGTGTCCTGGAACACCGTCGGGACCTGGTGCACCTTCTGGTCCTGCTGGCCCACGTGGGCAACCACCAGTGTCAAATTCGTCGAGGTAATAGTCTTCGTTGTATCTGGTGCCTCCGCTACCTCCGCTACCTCCGCTACCTCCGCTGCTTCCGCTACCTCCGCTGCTTCCGCTACCTCCGTTGCCTCCGGTGCCTCCCCAACCGCCGCTTGTACGTTCGGTGAATGGAGGTCCAGATGCGCTTCCACCGTTTTCGCAGTCTTCACCGTTTTCACCACTTCCTCCGTTTGCACAACCAGTACCACCAGAACCACCGGGACCACCGCCTGGGCCTCCAGTGCCACCAGTTCCAGTACCTCCAGTACCTCCGGTACCTCCAGTACCTCCAGTTCCTCCAGTACCACCGCTTCCTCCTCTGCCACCGGCACCGTAACGTCTAGAGGCTGCTGCTTGATTTGTGAAGCAAGCTTAAAATTGTGGTTCGTTAAGCAGCATTCTATGTTTACCAAAACTGAAATTCATAACTCAAAGTCTCAAATTCAAATCATTTTGATTGTTTCAAATCAAATTTTGTTTCAATTCGAATTCATATGCTTTCTACATTTGCATTGCTTATTGCCGAGAAAGATAACATCGTAAAGACAAGCCAAACTAGTAACTCTGAAAACATAAGGCCAAAGGATTAAGAGGAAGCAACCTGATGCGCTCATGTTGTTTGCTAAATATGTCTCAAGAGTCAGTTACCAGCGTGATCGCTGTAAAAACTGCTATCGATATCTTTGCTGGGACCAACTCACATGCTTGAACCGAGTCCCATAGATTTTATACTGAACAAATATTTGCTGATGTCACAGCGATATCCACAGCATATTGAACACTACGCAGCAACTACCGCCTAGCATACTGATTTTACCATATGTTTGACGAGGTGGAATGCAGGATAAAATCCGCTATGGAAATTTAGGAGTTCTTTGTAGTTCTGGAATTTCGGGGATTTTATTTAGAATAGGTTGAATGAATTTGGACAGCGCCAAGTAAAAAATGGGTCTTTCTTTTTAAATAAATAACAATCAAGAACGTGAGACGTTTAAGTTTCCACCTCATCTCTCCTCTCAATTCGCATATCATCTCAAAAAAACTGTCATACAATGCAGACATAAGCGAATCTACTTCAAAGATTGAGATTTCTCAGTAAAGTCTGCCCAAGAATCTACACTTAATCGCATCATTTTTTGCACTTCCCAAGGGTCAGATATCCCACGCGACTTTCTTTGTAAAGATTGCATGAGACTGGAATTCGCGATGTCTACAAAGATGAAATATATCTTTTTTATCAAAGTGCATGTCTACAGTACGAAGTTTCCGCGTTCATGCACTTTGACAAAAAGACATTTTGACGCAGAATTTAGTGACAGATTATCAATCAGAATGAGAGGGTTTCTAGGTACAAATAGATCTTTTTCTCTGATTAGCCACTAACCAAACTATAAGGGGAATTTAAGATTTGTGCATTGTCAATCAAGATTTTCCTTAGTTTCCGAAATGAATGAATGGTTTGAGAGAGAAAAAAACTGCTAGAGAATTTTAAAACACCTATTTTTGATAAAAGTTTATGTATTTAGTACCAATCATTAAAATTTGTCTTCTTGTACTTCTTACGCTCTAACGTGACTTAGTTGTGTTTTCTTGTTCAAAAAGGATAGAATGACGAGATTGGTGGAAATGAGCAGATATGAGCAGATCTAATTATTAATACGAAAAAGAGGTGAGCTAGCCTGAACGTGGTATCTCCGCGGCAAAAGCAAAGATATTGAATAGACAGCTCACCGCAAACTGGTCCAGCGTTTACTCCTTGTGCTTCATAAGCACCGTACTGTTCTTTGCCTTGACGCCGTTGACGAGTGGATGGTGTAGCTGCACCAAGTCCAAGCATTTGCGTCCAGATGTCATCGGTTTGAATCTAAAAAACAAGCTATTCGTTTATTTGACGCTCAAAAATGTTAGGCCAAGCGGACTCACTTTGAATTCGACCATTTGCTCGTCAAGCTGCATCCAGATGCCTCGCACATCCGTGTAGATGTTGTAGATGGCATAGAGCGAGATCAGTAAGGTGAACGTGGAAAGGCACAGCGCACCCGCTGTCGCTTTAGAAACGCTCATCGCTGAGGAGGGTGCTCGGACGAGAACAGCGCCCAGCGATCGCCTTTTGTAGTCCCGCTCACAACCTGACCCATGTCGCCGCCTTTGTCCCTATATCAACTGGTTACCGTGTCCGCATTATCGCAATCCACTCTCTCGACATTACTCTCGCTTGATAGACTGCAAGTGAAAGCCTTTCGAGATTGCATATGGAAGATCAGGGAATAAGTAGGTCAAGAAATAATCTCTCTCGATATGGTATACGTTGTAAATAATATGTTTTGTACCAAAGACGGGACAGCATCTCTGCTAGTTAAACTAAAAAAGGATGAAGAGGCAAATGATCAGCAAACGCTAAAAAACCTTTTATTCAAAATTTTTGCTACGAATATTTATAAGCACAGTAACGCTAATATCGGCCTGTTTAACTGTTTTATTGACACGTTATTCTAATGTAATATGACACAATGAGTAATATGTCATTTTATCGCTGTTAGAAAAATTTAGCGGCTAGTGGTAGGGTCGGCACACATAATGTCTCAGCTTTTGCAATCACTAAAATTAAGAATGTTTGAAGTACAGAAGACTAGCCTACATATAGCTGCAAAATTATTTGTCGTTCACTCCCTAGACACATCTAAAAAGCATTGAAAAAATCATTATACAGCACCGAGAGGGGGAGGAGTGGCCCCCCTTCCCCCGACGGGTCGCGAAATTTTTGAAAGTTGTTAAATGTGTTATAAAATAGTGCAAGTGACTGTTTTTAATTGCAAATAATTAAAATGATTTTTTGAAATTTTAAAAATTCAAATTAGCCTTGTAAAAAAATTTTTTCGGAGCGTAGCTGCCGCCACGCCCCTATTTCTAAAAATTCGGGGTTAACAGCCCACAAAAATCGTGGAAGCGCACCAATAAATTTTTTCTGAGTGCGTGGTTGACGCCACGCACATATATCAGGAAAAATTCTTCCCCCCCCCCCTCCAATTCCTGGATACGTCACTATTATATAGGTAGCAAAACAGGCTTTTGCTGGCTGCAGCATTGCAAAAAGGTACTCGAAAGGTGGAATGCAGTTCAAACTCAACCTAACCCTCTGTGAGGACCCTCAAGAGAAAAATTTTATCAGAGAAACGGTGCAATAATTTCAAAAACTTTGTCAGTATATATGAATGTGAAGGCGTGGACTTTGAGTATTTCTTCTTGTTGAAGCAAAAAAATAAACTGTTCTTCACTCAGTTTTTAAGCAACTTACGTTCAGTGAAATATGGAAAGCCTTGGAGGCAGAGGTGCGATAATCGGAGCCGAGTCTCCGCCTACCTTCACTTTTGAGCTGATACCGGGTGACCACCTTCGCTTTTGGGTTTGAAAAAAATTTTTTGCTGAAGCTTAAAAGAAGGAAAATAAGCAAAAGGAAAGTAAAAGAAAGTATTGAGAGCATATATCTATGTAGTAGGTCGATCTAGGCAGTAGGCAGCCGAGAACCAGAATTTCAAATGTTAAAATAGCAAAAAATCATGCGAAATTTCCACTGTCATATATCTGGTAGTTGAAGATGTCAGCAATTGCGACTTCATAGGTTCTAAAGGGCAAGTGTTGTTCTACCAGATAGTGAAAGAATCGAGTCGATTTGAGCAGTGGCCGCCGAGAACGAGAATTTTGAAAAATTAAGCGATTTTAGGTTGCTTAGTGACAGCTGACGTTTAAACTCCTACAAATCTGGAATGTGAAGGTTTGCAATGTTGCGACTTCATAGGTTTTGTAGAGCAAGAATTTCTCTATCGGAGTATATCTTAGACGTACCGATCCATTGAGATACCGCCGAGATCCAGGGTCTTGAAAAAGCAGGTAAAAATCCGCTTTTTGAAATTCAACAGCTCATAACTTCTTCAGAATTGCACGAATCATGTTGCGACTTCATAGGTCAGATTCTTCTTATCAAGAGCTTTCAGATGGTATATAATATGTGGGGGTTCAAAGACTTTTGCGGCTCTAACCCAGGGTGGAGACTTTTCACCCCAAAGTCTCCACCTCGCCCATGTTAATGTATTGGCCGGAGACGCCAGTGGAGACTTTGGGGTGAAAAGTCTCCACCCCCGGGCATATGCCGTGAAAGGCGCGAAACCTCCACATATTATATATCATCTGAAAGCTCTTGATGAGAAGAATCTAACCTATGAAGTCGCAACATGATTCGTGCAATTCTGAAGAAGTTGTGAGCTGTTGAAGTTCAAAAAGCGGATTTTTACCTTTTTTCAAGACCCTGAATCTCGGCGCTATGTCAATAGATCGGTACTGCTAAGACATAATCCGTTAGAGAAATTCTTGCTCTACAAAACTTATGAAGTCGCAACATTGCTCACTTTCACATTCCAGATTTATAGGAGTTTAAACGTCAGCTGTCACTAAGTAACCTAAAATCGCTTGATTTTTTAAAATTCTCGTTCTCGGTGGCCACTGTTCAAATCGACCAGATTCTTTCACTATCTGGTAGAACAACACTTGGTCTTTAAAACCTATGAAGTCGCAATTGCTGACATCTTCAACCACCAGATTTATAACAGTGGAAATTTCGCATGATTTTACGTTATTTTATTATTCAAAATTCTGGTTCTCGGTGGTTACTGCCTGGATCGACCTGCTTTATTCGCAGTACGTTAGAACAAAATTTACTTAATAAAATACGTAAAGTCTAGCTAGGTTTTACTTACAGATAGACCATTTGATACACGTTTATCTCTTTATTTTTTATTTTTATGCCGCCATACTCATCGTATTTGTGGCCCTTAAGAGGGCCGTTAGGTCACACTTGTTGGCCCTCAAGGGGACCGTTAGGTTAGAGTTTTTCAATTATCCGAAGTTCCCCTTCCTCCCCCCCCCCCTCCCGCCCCGGTCGACGTTTTTGGGAGGTGAGTGTCCGGCACTACCACCTTCACTTTTGGCCGGTCAGTGGTAGCTGGAACCACCTTCACTTTTGGGGGGCCCGGCTCCACCTATCGCACCTCTGCTTGGAGGTCATAATTGCCTTACTTGGCTGACGCGCGGATGAGAACCTGCGTTTTCATTTTGATTGTGTGAAGTTAACGAGTTCCCTTTGATCTCTTCTCGCATGACTTTCATAAAGTATCACAAAACAGACGTGGGAAACCAACTGAAAATTCTTCAAGCGTGGGAACATTTTGAACGTCCTGAATCTGCATTTCATGCGGGTGTTTGATGTGCATTTGGATGAAGGAGCGCGGAAGTGATCATGGATGTGATAATACGCGTTTGGTGTCAGACACTTTAAGCTACAAACACAACTCGACAAGGCAAACAACAGCGACAGCAGAACATACACGTCAGTAAAAAGAGGCATGCTATTTTTCAAGGTGATCGTTGCCCACAGCTGTTTTTGTTGAGGCCAAGGCCGGTGCTATGTCCCGAAGTTTTACTTAATGATCGCCCTAATTTACGAACAATAGAAAAAATGCAGAGGGGACCGAAAAGATTGATAGCGCAATAAGTAAGAAACTCAAATTTTTGCAATCTTTGAGACTATTTCCTAGCCAGGGTTTTCAGTTTTCGTCTTGTTTTCGCAGAAAAGAAAAACATTTGGGCAGTCTCAATGCAATCAATTGGTCCCTCAGAGAGTACAAAGCACCTAGTCCTAGGTTAAAGAATTGTAACCTGGTAGACCACTTCGTTTACTTTTCGCATCGAATTAAACTCTAATAATTTGCTTCATGCTCGGGAATATCGAACCTGCATTCTTCTTATTGTTAAATGAGAACAAAAGATGTGCAAGTGATAGCTTGGATGTTTAGGAATGGTTTTCCTATAAGCCAACTATTGAACAAATCCACTGCAGTGAGTCTTCTAGAGACAAAGATCGTTTGATTGTAGTGTGAATACATGATTATTGGTACGATGATTGTTTTGTAGAAGATGCACTTCATGTGCATTGAATAGATAACTGAGTAAATATCGCCGTTTTAATTGGAATTTCCTCTTAAGGTTAGGATCTAATGTTTTTATGTTGTCGCAATTTTCGTGTTTGTTTAGATATGCTCCATACATTGCTGAGAATGCAAAGTCTTTTTTTTTATCGAATCGAAGTTTTTTGGTATAAATAATCACCACCACCTCGTCATAAATGTCAACACAAGGACATTTTGAGCCGTCTTCAGGCTGGATCAGTGATTCAAATAACTGTTACTTTAACAGTTCGAATACATATTTATAATGAATTCGACTTGAAGTGTTGAACCGCAATTCAGATGTTCGGTCGTCATTCAGCCAAATGTCCAGTAAAGTTTTCACTGAAAGCTCTCTGTTGTCAACTGTAAAACTCGTTCGACTCTGCAAAATCTTGGTTTCGGTACTTCAGTAATCGGTATAGTGTCCTCACTTGCACTCAGTAGCAGAACTGACTTTCGTCAGCATCATAAGTACCACCACGGAATCGAACCTTGCAGATCCTGATTACCAGCGGCGCCCAGTACCATCACACCACACGCACTCGATAAACATCGGCGCACCATGTCTCCTGCTAACAAAAGAATGAGGAAACCGTATAATCTGCTTAGATTGCCCACCTGTCTATGTCCAGACTGAATTAATAAGTTCAGCATAAGTTGACTCAGATGTGTGATATCTAAAGAGGTAAGCAAAGCTCGTCTTCCCTAAATTAATAAACGACCAAATTAGTAACCAGGCACCATGAGCATTATCTCACCGCTCTCTTCATGGACTGTTATTTGCGCATTCCGAACGCTATAAAGAATCATATTGGTTTATTTGATGCAGTTGCTTCATAAGCGCAATCGTGCTATTTTAAGCACCTGGCTTTGAGCTACGAGTGTTTGAATACTTTCTAATATCAGCAAATGAACGATCCACATTTTATAACGGGCTGTATGCCAAACCACTACTGGAAGGCACATTGTTAGAAGTTATACTTTGTCAAAAATCTGTAGCGATTTAAACATTCAAACTACCTTTTTATTGCGCTACTTCTTAGCAATTAGCCACTCTTCCGAAGAATCTTCCACTACTTGAATTTCCGTGATAATATTAGTG